ACAACCTATATTCAGTTCTGTAAAATCAATGGTAATATCCATTATCCAGTATATCTGAACAAAACTAATATTGCTCAATTATTATTTGAATAAAGATTAATTTTGTATGTCTTTATTGTTATTTCATGTTGGAAACGAAATGGAAAAATAAAGGAAGTAATAAAATAAATTTATTGACATTTCTAACCAAGTATATTATGTGTAGTAATTATGTGTGATAATTGTAACAAGAAAATCTTCATTTCGCTCAATTACTCAACCTACATTGCACAAGATATATATTAACTTCGTGCAATCTATATCAGATTATCAAATACCAAAGAAGTTCGTTTCGGGGATAATTCCATCATTTTGGCATTTTCCAAACTGTCAATAAGAAGTCACAAAATGCAATTATGTAGTATATCGTCACTTATAAACAGAATAAGGTATGCAAATGTGATTTGATTCTTTAAAACATGGTTTTCAAAAGGTTTTTTTCTGAATATATGGTGCATGCTATTCACGTATTTAGTGTTGACAAATATGCTGTATTGCAGGAGAGAATAAAGTTCTATAAACGCTATCATAATTAGGTACGCCCCTTTAAGCGTAAACATTTTATACAAATAACGAGCAATCATTGATCAAAATGTATACGCAAAGATGTTAAAGGGGCACTAGCTGTCAAATTCATGTTCACCGATTTGACTGAAATTCTCATATTAGATTTATAAAGATGTAAAACAATTAAAAAGTTTTAAATAAACAATTTACAGGGCATGGGCTCGATAATATGTAGCTTCGTTTCGTGTGTATTTTAGTCTAGACGCCATCTAATTAACTATCGATATGACCCCGAAAACAACCGACAGTCACATGACACGATATAAACATAAACATAAATACCAATAGATATATGGACCTCGTGCAAATGGATTTTTCTATGTCTGTTTGATTTCAATTTTAAGGTTAAAAAAATAAGTTAATTTTCGATTTTACCTGTATAAGAATGGTTTTTTTTTGTGGATCGAATCAGTCAATCAAATGATTTACCTTTGTTTCACTTTCAATGTTGACATTCTTTTCTTTTAATAGCCTAACACGCATCAATCATGCATAATCCATCTCTAGCTAAGGGGTTAAATTGAAGTTCACATGAATACGGATTCCAAGAGGTCGAATTATTCACTTGCAATGAGGGTCAATACAAAGTGCAACGGATTTGTTCTTATTTAAAAATATTATCTTGTCAACAATATCTCAAATTTGTTAGGTAGCTAATAGCCTTGCTGATGAAAATATAAGCTCTGACGGTACAGAGGTGGGGGAGTGACTCAGATTAGCTAAAAGCTTAAGTGTTATCCTTGGAACAACGTGATGCTCTTGTTCATATATCCTACATGTACCTCTGTTTATAGGAGTTAAACGCAAATCCTATCTTGATTTTTATTAATTTTGAATAATATTTAATTTCCTGGGAGGTGCTCTCAATAAAAATATTTTTTGTTTAAACTCAAGAAAGCAACAACATTCTAACAGGAAACCGATTAGTCGAGTATCATTGTGGTAATCGATACTCGGTACTACCGAGCAATACTCGAGTACTCGAGTACTCGTTGACATCCCTAGTTCAAATATATAATTGATTGATTGATTGATTGATTGATTGATCGATTGGGGTTTAACGCCACTTTCAACACTATTGTGCTATTTCGTGGAGGTCAGTTTTTATTGGTGGAGGAAGCCGGAGTGCCCGGAGAAAACCATAGAATATATATAAAAAATTCGGTAAACAGGAAGTTGATATTCGACGAATTGGATACCGCATCACAGACAATGTTCACAAGTAGTCTGATAACAAATTTCAGTAAGCTCTTATTTGTAGATCCCTTGAAAAGGGAGTGGGTATCATTCAATTTCATCGTGTTATTTAGTGATCAGCGTACAAACAACTGTAGTTCACTAGATATTGAATTGCTACAAAATAGTGATCGATAAACATCGCATTTTAAATTTGTACTTTTTAAAAGTTTCTTAGGATTAATTTTATTTTTTATGTACATGTATTTAGAAAAAAATATATTTCCTCTTTCAGAATACAATTTTTTATAGATTAATAATTTTGACCAAACATTAACTGTAACACATGACCCTACATTTTTTTATTAGTTGATTGTTTCAATGGTACCATATTGTTCGAGAGTGATGGGATTTTTTTTATGGTTCATTTATATACACATGTTATACAATTCCAAAACAATAGAAGTATAATTATTCTCTAGCTGAAATATATTTTCAGTCGATATCATTGCAACCAACAAAATATGGCCGTCATTAACTTCTATTAGTATGTATCATTGTGCAACATTTCACACTAATTTACAGCCCATGTGGGATGTCTGACATTATAGTCATGATACCTGTCAATAAAACCGTGTTTATAACTGTGAATAACACTGAGGATTATAAAATATTAATTCGCATTTCGTTTAGTAATATTCAATTATGATGTAGGTCTAGCAGTTTTGTAGTCCGTAATTGAGCATCCATTAACAAGTTATTGTACAACATGAAACATCAATAAATATATAAAGAGTCCATACGTGCAAGTATAACCTCTCTAATAAATAACAATCTGATTTATGTCAAGGATCGTGGTCATTTAGGGTTGTTTGAAGCAATGTTTGAGACAAAAATCCGATGTTTGACACGTCGAACAAAACAGAGAGTACAGACATCAGATAACAACTGTCACTGAATCAATGCTATTGTCATGGAAAACCTAACCTAATATATAATTGTTTCTAACCTCATGAGTAGTTACATTATACAACATGTATAAATGAACCATAATAAAGAACAAGAATAAACACCCAACCATTTTCAACTCTCACTGAATCGATGTTATTGTTGTGGAAAACATAACCTAATATGGGTATCATTGTTTCGAACCTCATGGGTAACAAGTTATTTCACTCTGCAGGATTAGATTGAAAGTCAAGTTTCCCATTTAACACACGTTAATTTGACTCCGTCACAAAATTTGTCACAATTTAAAGATATCAGAATTTTGTCGCTCTAGGTATTACAAAACGTACAATCAAAATTTGCAGATCTTTGTCAATTGGGAAACCATTAATATCATAATGTTTAACAGATAAAACATAAGTGCATAATGTCATTTAGCAAAGCTTGCACTTTATTGGAATGGGAACTATTTATTATCTGTAAGAATGAACACAAAGTATCGAAATAAAAGTTCTAAACGGCTACTAGTAAACACAGAAGTATCCCTAAGGGTATATCTTGGATCCTCCATTATTTTTGGTCCGATAAGTGATATAGTCGAAGAAATATAATTTTATGCAGAAATCAAAGACAATTTGTAACTGATATTTCTTAGTAGTTGATAATTCGACTAAAACTTACGACCCATAACAATGATATAGATGAAGAAATATGCATTTGATGAAGTAAAATTGTTATTAAAAAACATTATTGTGACCGAAATGGCTTATCAATTTACCACTCCATCCACAAAAATACCACAAAAAATTATATATTAAATATATTACAAAAACTATATACTACGCTTTCTCGCCACCCTTTGAAAACAAATAAATGAGGAATCCCAACTATTGGATAGTAACCAACACCTTGGTATGCAACTTAAACAAAACATTGTCTCAATGAACTAGTGAGAAGCAGAGAAAAAGAAGTTTGTTTTTAATTGACTAATTGCTGTTTGTTTGCTTTCAGTAGCAAATATTTCATGCATTTTTAAGACGAGAACAATTTGGTTATAATTCATATGGGTTATTTCTGCAGTGGATTTACCTGGATACAGGACAGAAATTTCGACTGCCGCTTGAAATGAAGGTATTTTGGATAGGGACAGAAAATTACACCTGCAGAACGATCAAAGAGTTTTTAACGTGCAGAGAAAGTTGCACTTTACTAACATGCGGCAATATATTTAATGTCCCAATTCAGAAGGAAAGAGAATTTATACATCCACATCCAAACAAATTCCCCTCGATAGTATGGATTTCGCATTACAAGGCCGTGTTTGGTTGTGATGCAAAGATATGAGTATCTTCATCTTCACTGCCTCAAGGAAATGTATGGGTCTTTGCAATCGGATGAATTAATGAGACAGTAGTTAACTGTGGTTAAAATCTCAAAAATCGACCAAGAAGAGACAAATAACGGTGCATTGACAGGGTAAGCGTCTCCTGTTATAGATGCATCACCCGACATGGGCAGATCTGCTTCAGTCCGTTAAAAGCGATAAGCCAAAAGATACAAGTCAAACTAATTATGATAATGTACTCTGAATCTTTTGGGAACATATGAAAAAGAAGATATTCATGTGTGACGTGTGTGCTTATTGCGAAACCCAATGTTGTCGAACGTTAAGTGTTTTATCAGAAAAGGTAATGAAAGAGCTAAATGTGTCATGATCCAGGTTTCTCCAAATGTGGTCGAAGTGCTAAAACCAGATGTTACACAAAACAATGCATTTGTAAAACATCAGGACAAATCTTGTGTAACAGTTCTGTCATCCAAACATTTTAAGAAATAACAAATAATTGTCGAGTTCTGTGCTTGTGTGAATTTGGAATAATTCAGTAAAATTTATTTTTGATTATTAAAACTCTTAAATTGCAAGCTTTAACATTCAGTAATTATCATAAATAAAACTGCTCTATTGTCCAAAGCTTTCAATTGGTTTTTTAACATTTCATTCTTTAAAATAATTTCAGTCATTTTGTAAAATGCCTTTCAATTTTTCCATGCATTTTGTAAAAAGCATAGAAAAATTATTCATTATGTAAAATGCCTGAATCTTGCAGGCATTTTAGAAAATGCCTAAAGTTTTATGTAAAAATGCCTAAATTTAGAAAAATGCCTGTAACATATACATGTACAATTAAAAAAAACATGTCATCACTAAGTTTATGGAAATGTTGTTAAAATTTCAAACAAAATATAAAAAGATGAACATTTTATTTTAGGAAAGGCACAGAGACAACAATTGATACCAAGTTTTATTCCTGACAAAACCAATCATGTAGTAGTCAACAGAGGAGATACAGCCATACTTAAATGCAAGATCCGAAATTTAGGCCCAAAAGCAGTAAGTATTTGTATCATGTTATTTCTCCTTATATACTTCATTTATATCAAACTTTCCTAGTTGTTTCTGAAGAAAAAATTTCTATGAGTGGCGTGTTTTACTTTGAATTATTTCTACATAGACAATTCAACTGCTTCTAGTCTGTAATATATCTAATGGTATTACCCTGTTTATAAACTGTTAGTCCCCCAAGAGCATCATCAGCTCGGCAGTCGGTGGGTTGTTACTGACATGATTTATAAATCATTTTTAAATTTAAATCTCCGCTGATAAATAAAAAAAAAAAAAAATTTAAAAAAACTAAAGTTTTAACTTATCCAGGCAAAGTTGACCTTATATGGATGTTGTTCAGTTGTTGTTTTGTTGGTGTTGTTCATAGGTGTTTCTCGTTTCTCGTTTTTTATATAGATTAGATCGTTGGTTTTCTTGTTTGAATTGTTTTACACTAGTCATTTTGGGTACCTTTATAGCTTGCTGTTCGGTGTGAGCCAAGGCTCTGTGTTGAAGGCCATACTTTGACCTATAATTGTTAACTTTTTATACATTGTGACTTGGATGGAGAGTTGTCTCATTGGCACTCATACCACATCTTCTTATTTATATTGATTATTCTTTTAGACCCTTACTTTTTGTTCATATAGCTCTTCATATGGCTACATACTATAAATAATACATCATTGGCTCTCAAAGTTCTAATTGCATTGATTATATATATATATCATTTGCTTTCCGAACAATTGACTCTTAGTGTTCCTATTGAAAAGAAGTCCACAAATACGCTGTGAAATCGGCAAAATCGGTACATTTCACTTCGAATTGGATGCAGATTAATCAGTCTAAACAAACTTGCTTGCGTGAGAGGCAATCGAACCAACAGCTGCTGAGCCATGTTGTTAAAAGAAATCTATTCAGTTTGTTTCTTTAAACTATAATCTAATTGATGGAAAAACACTTTTTCTAACATTAAATATAATCCATTTAGATAATCAAGAGAAATCTGCGATATCGATCTCCTAGTAGCAAATTTGATAAGCCATGACAAATTTGATGTCAGTAGTGATTAAATTCTTTTGATTATTATTCGAATACAAACTGTCTGGTGCACTTAAGTCAATATATTTATTCTGCATTTTAGTACAAACGAAACCATAAATGTGTTAAAAACCAATTTCTATTCAAGTATCCAATTTTATTTTAATTTTATCAAGAGTTGTATGAAATGTGTTGCGTATTTAGATTACTGAAATTTTCAGGTACAACAACCTTTTTTTTACAAAAGCAATCATGATTTAAATACCATGCAGCTATAAATAAATGTCAAATTGAACCGACAAGTTGCAAGGATTAAAAATGGTTAACACTCATATGGTTTCGTTTGTGGTAGTATTTTTTTTTTTAAAGTTTCAATCGTATTCATAGAAAATGTTATTGGAAAGATGAGTACACTTGACAGAAATAGAAAACGAAATCGATTTTCTTTACACATTTTTCAGTAGCCCTGTTATTCGTTCATGTATTTAGATAAAATTTCATAGAAACGCTGTGATGAACATATCATTCCGTTTTAAAAACGAAGTCATTTCTTAGTTAGAATAATATGACATAAACGGCAGCGTATTTTATAAAACGGGAACAAAACTTGAATGTTATACGTGCAATGGTTATCGTTTAATGAAAAATCAACCGTACAAAAAATGTAGGCAACTGTAATATTTCATGTCTGTACCAACTGTGAAATATCAGTTACACTATAAGAATTGACGTTTCTGCTGATAAACAATAGACAATAAGACATTTTGCTGATATTTTCTTTATTTTAGAAAGTTTTCATGAAACGTCTTTTTACTTAATCTCTATCGAAAACTGATAGTAATATTTGTAAAACAATAAATTCACCTAATTAATTGGAAATCAAGTACTGTTTTCCAAAAGCTAGCTTGGACTTGACCTTATTAAAGACGGTCCAAATTAGTCCAAAGCATATAAAGTTAAGTACATGGGGTATGCTTCCCAATAGGAGAAATACCCATTAGAGACCAAAGTACGAGAGCGTAAACAACTATAGGGCAATGTACGGTCTTCAACAGAAATCAACACACATATCTTATAAAAAGTATAAAAGGTCGACTCGACGAAAATAACAAAAAAATGATAACGGCTTAATTTATGATAAACAATAAATGAAAAACAAATATAACTGAAAGTAAACAAAATCCACTGAATTTCAGGCTCCTGACTTTGGGCAGACATGTAAAGAATTCTACGGATTTTAACTTTTTGTGAGTGTTAAACTAGCCTCAAATCTGCCAAATTGTAACAGCGCAACATAAGAACAAACTTTTAAAAAAGACAGATCGAGCTCGACTCAACAGATCCATACGAAACTTAAAAAAGACTTGAGACACAAAGTACTGATCTAAGAGTACTCGCAATTTCTGAAAGGTAAATCAAAACCAAATCAACTAATAGATAAACCATATTTTCCCAGATTAAAATATTATACGGATTTATTATAAAGACGTCATAAACATTCCGAGGAAAGCATGACCTTGTGCAATCCAAAAATATAAGTTTCGAGATGCGTTTATTGAAAAAGTTCCATCAGATAAGCTGAACTCAAATTTGAAGACCTATAATGTAAACCTTTTGGTAGCATAGAAGCAAAAAGGCTCCAAACAGATCAGCCAAAATAGTCTATGAGCACTTTACAATAAAATGTATCATTCAAACAAGCGACAACCTAAGCATTTACTATTCGGAGACTTTTTTTAATTTTATTATTTTAAGCTAACATTTGTACTTGCTAGACCACTAAATAGACGTAAACACACAAACACATTTCCCTTGTAATGTTTAACATTACTGTAATACAATATCATTTCTATACTATAATTAGAATAGAAGACAGAAAACATAAACAGATCAACTAATTTTCCGAGAAACCTTTTTTGCATAATCATTAAATATAATTGACATTGCAGTATAAATGACGTTTTAAGTTTTATATTTTATTTCCAGATACGACCGACTCTAAAAGTCTACATTAATTTTGAATTATTTTGCATTTTTGAAATAGAAAAATCTTGAATATATCAGTAAACTTGTTCAATTATTCAAATTTAAGCATAATTGATCTTCTTCTTGGAAATGTCAGACTACACAAACCTTTGTAACTGCAACTCTGACTGCCTTTCGAATCAGTATCTTGTCAAATATACATACCAATTTACATATCTCCGACATACAGTTCATATATATTCAGATCAAGTATATAGTAGAACATTTACGTCATATCAGTTTAAGACTCATTTACATAGGAGAGTCTAAATATATCCTACTTATTTATCATTTTTCTCCGAGCGCTGGTTTTGAGAATTGAATATAATTATTTTTGACTTTCTCTGAATGCTTTATTGGTTGCTGCCTACAATCTTATAAACATATAGGACGAACACTTATAAAAAGTAAGATACTTTTCTTGTGTACCTATACCAAAATAGAAAATGATGTTTCTGAAATGTTTTTTTTTTAACAATGTAGATCTATGAAAAAAGTCGATACGTTTCGACTGGATTTACAACATGAAATTTTTTTTACAGTAATTGAAAAAAAAACATGATAAGAAGGATGAATTTAAAATCTCATATAAAAGGTAAACAAAATAAAGGCCAAAAAATAACCAAAAACAAGACCCCCTCCCCAATAAAAACATAAAAAAGGTATACAAGAAACTATCAAAATGAGTACACCAAATTTTATCAAAAAACTGATATTGTGTTAGTTTGAATGTTTTGGATAAAAATAAGTATAAAAGATGGTTCTTGATAAATGTAGATCGATATATTAAAAGAAAACTTGATATTTCTATCGTCGTACCCATTAACACTACCAGTTCAAGTTTAACTGGCTTTTGCTGTAATTGTAAATTAACGGGAACAAGAATTAATTTTAACAAAGAGACATCCAAAAGTTCTCCTGACACGCCGATCAAAATTTTAAAAAATATAGTATATCGATGACTAAAAGTAGAGTAAATACTCACCAAGATCAGAATTATATACTAGTACTCACTTTTCACAACAGATAGCAGAGAATACTGAGTCAATATCGTATAATGATTAACATTTCGCGCATTTCTAAAATCAAGTACTCGCAGATTGTATTGAGTTCACCGGCCGACAAAGAAGCCAACAATACGGTACTGATATTACATAGATACTACACGGAAGTTCCTAAGAATGAAACATTCAAGAATATAAAGTTTTGATGAAACTTTAAATTTGAGAATTTATGAAAATTTTGTCAGTACCGAATCACTGACTACTGAGTAGATGATACCCGCGGTGACTAACAGCCCACCAGCTGTGGTGTCGGTAAATAAAAAATAACATATGAAACGCTTTTCTTGATTTTTAATAAGTGTTTTTTCAACTTATAAGTGTTCTCTTTTGAATTAAATATTTTTGAAATGCCGGGGCCTTTTATGGATAACTATACGGTATTGGTTTTGCTCATTGTCGAAAGCCGTACGGTGACCTATAGTTGCTTACATCTCGTCTTTTGATCTCTGGTGGGTAACGTCACAGTACCCAAATTGCACCTATTCAGAAAAAATAGCAGCGGAAATCTTACAAGTTGTCTTTGAGACTAAACAATTTGTATTTTTGTGAGTTGACATTATACACGTCTTTCAACATAGGTAAATATATCTAAATATACACAAAACGTTCTCAGCATATATCAACAGATGAAGTATTTACTGGAAAAGTAAAATCTACAAACACGTCGCCATGCGACGTCCACAAAAAGTCATCTTTTAATAATGGGCAAATAAAATATGTTACAAGCATCCATTTCTTAAAAAATGAATAGTAAGCATGGACTAATGTCAAATTATTCTAAATATTTGAAGAAATAAAACAAAACATCTGTTATTCGATTTTTAAGGATGTGAATTTAAGCATGGATGCACTTTGGGTACTCCTCATTACTGACTCATG